TACAAAATTTATCAGTTGGCTAACAAATTTGCTTATCGCTGTTGTCTTCTAAAATAAATTATTTTTATTATTATTGTTACCGTTTTTTTTTTGTGGACTGCAATATTTTTAGTATTATTAATGAATTTTTAAATCACTAAAAAAGAAACAGCTTAAGACATGACATAAAGATATTTTTAAAATTATTATCAACCAAAAAAAAATTTCAAAAAAGAATTTGACAGGGCGCACGTTCTACATGAATTTTTTTTATATAAGAAACCTTTGTTCTTCTCTAATAAATATTTAAATTAAAACTTTAGTTAACAGTTTTTGGGTATTTTATAGTATAATTTATTTGAGACAATTAATCACAATACCAAAATGATCATACAGTAGTCAAAGAAGACTACCTGCTCTATATGCGCCAATAGAATGTAAGTAGAGAAATCACATGTCTTATTATATTTGATTGACATATGCTGGTTTAAGTCATATTACGACCAGGAAATAAACATAGAAGTGAGTAAATAGTTTCTTTATCATTTAAAAATAGTTAAAGATTTGTATACATTATACGTAGAACACAATATGTGGTGTAGACGTAAATAATTAATAAAAATGAATCTTAAAAAAAATTATTTGAAATAGTTGAATGTAAGATTTAAATAAATTTAATCACTGATTTAATTTAAATTAGTGATTTTTATTACATATATTATATATAGTATATATAGAAATTCAGCTACAATTTTATGAAACGTCGTTAATAAAAATATCGGAATCTAATAATATATAATCGAAAAGTGTATTATATCTTGGAATTTTGTTTCTGACACAATTATGATATAGTTAAAGAACTAATGTATTTTAAAATATATTCTAAATAGTATATACAATATATAAAATAATAAATTTATATATTGAATAAGTTTACAGCATAACTGATTTTTATTACATATATTATACATAGTATATATAGAAATTCAGCGATAATTTTATAAAAAGTCGTTAATAAAAACATTGAAATCTAGGAAAATATAACCGAAAAGTGTATTATACCTTGGGTTTCTGTTTATGACTCAATTTATAATATAGCTAAAGAACTAATATATTCTAAAATATATTCCAAATAGTATATACAATATATAAAATAATAAATTTATATATTGAATAAGTTTATAGCATAACTGATTTTTATTTCATATATTATATGCAGTATATGTAGAAATTCACCGATAATTTTATAAAATGTTGTTAATAAAAATATTGAAATCTAGGAAAATATAACAACAATAGCGTAGATGAAGGTTGTCTCTGAGTTCTACATAATGCGTACTAGAAATCTACATAATGATTTTAGTCCATATAATATCTCTATATAATATGAAATCATTAGACTAGCCGTTTCAAACTAACCTACCAGTAACATTATTAACAGGATTTGATTTGCTTGCATTAAATATACTTTTCTATTATTATTTATAGTAAAAACAAAATCGGGATATATATTTAAATATTATTGTAAGAAAAATTAATATTGAGTGTTAAAATAAAAATATATATTCATAAGAAATGTATATGAATGAGTGGTGTTTCCTTAGGACCGAATCACAGTTCAATTTAGAAAATAAAATGGTTTTATACAAAGCCCGGATACTTCAAGGAAAAAACCAAAAGCTTTTGATACTCTATAACATGTTTAATAAAAATATTCGTTCAGGAATTGCTCTAACTGCCACAGTTAATAATCAGTAGGTCAATGAATCTTCGATAATCAAATAGATTAACAATAAATGGGATTTAAATATAAAAAATAGAAAGTTTTTCTTGGTTTGAATTATAACAAAGATTGTAATCGAAAATATTAAGAAGTACAACTAATGTTGTTTATTTTATAATAAATAAATGTATTCATATAGATTTTAATCTTATATATGTTATGAGTGAAGTTATTTTAAAATCATAACACCATCTCCATATTATATACGATACAATATCGCAGCTAATTTAAACAATTCTTGGTTTAGAGGAAAGTATCTTAGAAAAAAAATTTGATTTGATGTAGCTCACGTTGCATGTGGCTAATCTTTATTCTACAACAAATTGGAAGTTTTGTAGGCCTCTTGAAAGAAGAAGACGAATATTGTAATGTAGGCATACCTCGAGCAATACTGAGGTCACAATGATCATAATATAATTTTCTTTATAAAATTTGTATCCTTAAAATAATGTGGACATAATTTTCAAAAGACAAGAATAAAAATAACTTCATTAGAAATCATTTGAGAGCGAGCTCTTTTGGAAGATGAACCTGAAGATACTCGAGACAGTGGTGGATGTATGAAGTCGATAAAGAAGTGAAAATAAAGTGATGGGATGACCAATGGAAACAAAAATTTTATAAGGTTTTAATCCGATCTAGGTTGTTATAATCTTCCAGTAATGATGATGATGAGTATGCATTTTCAGATAAAAGTACTATTTCGATTTTAGTTCATATAAAATGAAGACAAGACTTATGTAGGCAATTTGGGACTAAACAATAATATTTCTGTTTCATTAGAAATTAATAAAATAAAGAATAAATAAATATTTCTTTTTCAGCAATACATTAAAAATAAAAGTAAAAATAAAATTATAAAATATTTTGCATCTTAAGCAATCAGTTCTATTTATAAGTTACCCAAAAAAAACTTAAATTTTGAAATGTTTGCGAAATTTATATAAAAAATAATTAAATCACTTTATTTAAATAAGAATAAAATAAAAGGATATATTAATTTTATAATAATTATTATCGATTAATAATTCATTAATAGTTGTAAATAAAAATTTTAAATTCTTCTTTGTTTTATACAATATAAATATTTTAATTATTAAATTTTACTTTAAAATTTCTTAATTAATTAAGATTTAAAACTTGTCACTTAAATTTTTAATCAAGTATTATTTGATTTATGGACTATTGTTTTTAAAACAGATATATATTATTTTTGATGGATATGTGATACCGCGACTTCAAGATCTATTCCGCCTATATTTTAAATTTTAATTAGGACTGTATTATTAATAAATCTTTTCTTCTTTATTTTTATATTTTCTTGACCGTAAAATTTAATCTAAATATCAATTATTGTTTTCAAGTGATAAAAATTTAATAGGCATTTATAAAAATTGGCTTATTTTTCATATTCCTAAAGACTATTATAAAATATTTTAATTATTGATTGTGATTATATATTAATGATAAGTACATATTAATTATAATAACTATTAAGAAAACTGTTTTTAAATATAATATTTTTTTAAGAATAGAATATTTTTTTAAAAATAAAATATTTCTTTACGAAAATAAAATATATTTTTAAAAATAGAATATACTTTTAAGAAATAAAATATTTTTTTTAAGCAAAAAAAAATAATTTTTTAAAAAATTAAAAATTCTTTTAGTAAATAAAATATTTTTTAAGATATAAAACACCTATTTTCTAAATAAAATGTTTATTCTTAAAAATATAATATTATTATTATAATACATTTTTTAAAAATAAAATATTTTTTAAAACTGTGATGTTTTTAAAAGAAAATAAATGTTTTAAAAGAAAGTTTTTTTTTAAAAATTAAAAATTGTTGAAAAATTATATATTTTTTTAAAAAAATATATTTATATATATATATATATATATATATATTATATATATATATGTATTTTATATATATATTTTTTAATATAATATTTTTGGTTGTTATGTATTTTTAAAATATAAAATAGTTGCAAAATAAAAAACTTAAATAAAGATTAAGGATTGTTTCATTTACTTATTTTTTATTCATAATTCAACCTAATACAAAACTAGTTAAAAATAAACTAATTTTTTATTTAATTGTTATTCTTTTAATTTGCAATTTTAAATTATTTTTATATTAGCATTATTCTTCTATTTAATTTTTATTTAATTTAATTTTTTCTAGCATAAATAAGTAATGCATTATAGACATTTAAAAAAAAAGAACCCTAGGGTAACGCAACCCTTAACCTTATATAGCCTTTTATAATTTTTTAAATCTTTAATTTATTGAATTGTTATTGTTTTCATATTTTATTTACGTTTGTATTTTTATTAATATTATTTTTTGTCATTAAATAATTATTTATTTTATTTGAATTAATTTTTTATTTCGTTGTATTGCAGTTGTTATTGTAATTTATTCACGTTTATATTATTTGCTTTATTTTTTTTTTCAATGTTTATATTTAAACGATTTATTTAATTCAGTTTATATTATTGTTTTTTTTGTCATTCTTGTTTCAGTTGTTAGCTTTTGTTTATTTAATAAATAAAACTTTTTTCTACTGATATTATATAATTTTTATTATTATTTGTTTTATCGTTTTTAATTACTTTATTTTATTTTGTTTTTATAATTTTCTTTAAAAGTTTTTTATAAGTTTAGATTATAAAATTATACATTTTTTTTTTAATGATAAATTTTTATATATTTTTTCTAAATTTAAATTATTTTTTTATTTAGATAATATTTTTTCAATAATTTAAATTTTAATCATGACTCTAATTTTTTTTTATTTAGGTATTTTTGTTTTATTGTTTTGTTTAATTTTAATGCCAAAATTTATATTTTTTATGTAGATAATTTTTTTTTACAATTATTTTTTTTTTTAATTTAAATGTTAAAATTATTTTTTTTTTAACTTAAATCATTTTTTCTAATTTATTTTAAACTTGTAATATATTGTAACTTTACTTTAAATTTAAAACAAATATAAAAGTGTTGAGCTTGTTTTTGTAATAAATTTCTGGTCAAGGAGGTAAGTTAAGGATGCTACTGCATTTAGCAATGTACCAAAGAATCTCATTTTTTTCAAAAGTGCAGCTTATAAATGCAACTTTCTTTTTTAAATATGTTATGATTAAAGTTTATAATTAATGTCACTAGTTTGCAATATTTTTATTTAATATATTTAATTATTTTTAAAATTATATTTAAATTGTAATCACCTTTTGCAGCAACCAGGAGCTGGAAAATGCTCAGTACGATAAAACTTTTGAAATGCATTTTTGTTTCTTTGTTTATCTTAGAAAAAATTCCGTTAAAAATTTCAAATAAATGATTTTATTTCTTAAGTAAATCTTCAAAAAAGATTGATTTTAAGATTCAGCTTTCGATTTCACTGCGTTATATTTTTTTTCTTTGAAAATTGCACTGCACTAGTTTCCTTAGTGAACGCGTTATATATCGGAAATTGAATAAATATCCTCAATGCTGTTGATCGGTGATCGTTTCGGAGGGGTTTATTTGCATATACCACCGTTAACAACTTCTACTTTTTAACTGAAAATCTTTTGATTAAAACGCAACTTTTTATATAAATTTTCTGAGCTCGCTCGAAAATCGCGAAACTCCAATTGACGACATAAGAGAGAGCAATTTTTTAGGTAATTTTCATTTGTTTGCTTTTTGTTGTTATTGTTAATTGCTAAAATTAAATAATTTAAAAAAAAATATATGTAAAAACAATAAAATTATATTAAGAACATATGAAAGCCACAGCGTATACAGTAGCGAATGGTAGTTAACAGCGTGCGGTTAGCGAGAGAGCGCTTGATCTGTTGGAGAATATTACGGAGAGCTTATTGAGTGGTGAACATACAAAATACAAAAACAACTCTGTATGAAGCTCTGTTAAACTTAAAATCATTTGCAACCGTTTTATTATTGCAGATCAGTGCGGTAATACCTACTCACATATGCACAAACACACATAGAAATCATGTACAGAACCATTTGCCGGCAGTAGACAGCTGGTTTTTTTTTAAACTGAATGTTACTGTCACTACCATTGTGACGTCATAAACCAACACTTCATATTCACTATCAGCAATCAATTTACGCGGTTGGTCAGTGCCGGTTACTTTTGTGGAAACGAAAATTAAAGATATTTAAAACAAAAATAATTTGTTGTGTTGAGTTAAATAAATTTATTTTCTTGAATTAAGAAAATCGATTCATCAGACATTTTATAATATATATATATATATATTTATAAATTTAAAAGAATTCATATTTTTTTATAAATGATATTTTTGTTTTTGAAACAACATATAATAATTATTGTTTTATGAAATTTATTGTCTTTTAACTAATTATAAAAATATAATTAAATTTGAATATATGGATTTAAGAATTTGGATGGATTTACACATATACTGAGAAGACAGCAAAAAATAAATAATATATATATATATATATATTTATAAATTTAAGAGAATTCATATTTTTTATTAATGATAATATTTATGTTTTTGAAATAACACAAAATAAATATTTTTTTTATAAAATAAAAAATAAAATATTTATAAAAAATTTTGAATATTTGGATTTAAAAAGAAATTAATGGATTTATGCATAAGAAAAGTATTAGAAAAAAAATTATTGTTTAATCCATGCAATAAAGAATATTGGGAAGACAAAAGTACATTGAATTTAATCTGATTAATTTAGAGAATACAATTAATACCAGTTAACAATTTGCTTGTCAAGATATATAATATCCTATTCTGATTATGAACATTGAGTTTGTAGAGATTTATTTTTATTTGCAGAAAACGTAGAGATTCATTCAAATATATTTAACATAAATCCGATAAAAAATGATTACATGAAATATTTTGGAATAAATAATCTACAGCCATATCTACTTCCATTTCTTCGATATAAGAAATACGACGATAGTTTACAATTAACATTAAATGTATAAACACCTTAATACCTAGACAGCTCTAAAAAAGATAATCTAATTATTAAATACGAACATCATTTAACAATTCTATTTAATAATGAAATTTCACCCAATAAATTGAAAGTTGGAGCAGCACCTACATTTCCGGAACTTAATAAAAATCATCATGAAGTTAATGATGGCATAAATCCCTTTAATAATCCTGAAGAACATAATCCATGATCAATCATTAGTCTACATCCATCACAAACTCCCCAATTTCTTAAAGGTATAATTTCTGCTAAAGAGGGATGAAGAAAAGTGGTGAAAAAAATATTGATCAACCACAGACTTCCATGCTTAGAAAGATTAATGAAATAACAAAGTAATTAGAAGAAACATTAGGTATAAAACTCTATTAAGAAAAGTTGTGTAGAAAGTTCAAACCAGACTGTCATGTTTAGAAAGAACAATATAAGAAGAAGCATTAATGCAATGTTACTTCCATGTATTATTTGTTAAGATACTTACAATTGTTGAACGAAAAAATAATTTAATAATGCTTAAAAAGATTTATTTATTGTAATAAATTAAACATTATTAACAATATATTAATTTATTTGCTGAGTTCAACGTCATAAGCTAAGCATATTAATTCATATATTATAAATCTTAACGTAAAATTTTAATTTTACTCTAAGCAGATAATAACAAAAAGTTTGTTCTGTATTAGCAGAGTCATAAATTATCAGAAGATTGCTTCTGTGAAATGTATCTGTGAACTGTTGATATGCATACATATGAACATATATTAAAACAATAGAGTGAATCAGCCGCATGCAGTTGGGGGAAACTGCAGCAAAAATGACGTCAAAAATTTATTAAATTTATGCGCGGGTTTTTCTACAGTTATCTACTAAAGATATTACGTTTATGATAGTTCGCTTACGCCATTGGAGGGGGTGGTATGTATACTGTAAGTGTATATCAATTAAAATGCAATAGTTACAATATAAACTATTTTAGTTTGAAATACTTTTAGTAATTGTAATTGGAAAAATTATTTTAAAGTTTACAACTGATGATAAATCAAATCTTGGAAATATCATATAAAAAAATTTTTTGGGCTAATTTTTGTAGAATTAAAAATGTATTTTTTACTAGTACTGAGAAAAGTTAAATTAATAATTTTTATTTAAAATTTTTTTTTTATAGTAATTATTAATTATTATTATTGTTAGGGGATGAGGCATTATGACCGTCGGATCTATTTACAATCCCCCCTTGGGTGGAAAGTAGGTCTCTAAGTCCTGTTGCGTCAATAACAGGGCTTACAGAACCTACTTTATATAGTTTTATTGTCTCTTCTGTAAGAATATATATTTCCAGGAGCCTATTCCGTATGTGCATTAACGCAGGGCATTCTAACAGCACATATGTGGCGGACTACTCAATCTCTTCACAGAATCTACAGTTTGCATACGTATGTATACTCAGTAAGTATACAAGTTGTAAGTATACAGTAAGTATTTTTTGTCTGATGACAAAAAATCTCTGGTAACAGAAAAGGAGGAAAATTCTAAACACAAGAATTTTTAATTTTCAATGAAGTATATTTTTTGCTGAATTTACAGCATTTCGGGATATTGTCAGAGACCCATTATCAGTCTTTGGAAATATTTTTTGTAGTTCATTGTTCGTTTTAAATTTTTAAAATATTAAAATTCAAAAATTGTTTGTAATTTAACCCAATTAAAGATCACTGATGCTTTTTATATTCAACCAAAAATTCAATAAATTAAAAAAAAATATATATATATCTAATATTCCTAAAAGAAAAACCGAAAGTATTGCCTTCTATGCCGTTTAATGTTGAAAATAGGTAAATTGTTGAAGCCAACAACATTCCGCAGCTTCGTTACCCTTTAGGGTTGGTTTTTTAATAGGTTTACGTTCTGGGATGTAGGCTGAAAATAGTATGTCTTCGAACTGAAACTGAACCGATAACCAACAGCCGAAAAAACCAATATTTTTGCTGGAACGAAAACCTGAATAGAATCAAAAAAAAAATGTATTGGTTTATTTCGGTTTAGCACCATGTAGTTTGGTATGTGTTCATTCACACAAATTTCTTTTCAGTTGTTGACTTTTTTGTTTATTTATGTTTTTTGAATATATTTTAAATTAATTTAAATCAGGCCTCAGTTAAGAAATATTCAACTGAAATAGGATAAAATCTATTAACAGAAATATATATACTTAAAGTAGTCGACGATTAAAAATTTTTTTTAGCTCTAGTAACCAAAGTTTTCAAAAACTGGAACTGTACCCAAATATTCTTTGTTTTGTTCTGAACTGGATCAGAAACCGGAACGGGAAAAATTCCGGTTCGAAACATTGAAGAGAACAGCGAGAAGCTCCTTACTCAAACGTTTTCCAAGCGCAACCTTACAGATATAGTGAATAAAACGGGCAGCATAAGCACCAGCTTAGAATTATTAGTACTTCCAAAATTAATTGATTACTAAAACCAAAAGATATAAAACTCTACGGTTTATCTACGGATCTGAAAAATAATATTAAGTGAAATCCCAATTAGGTACGATAAGTCCAGCATACAGCAGAACAAGTATAATAAGAGAGTTCTAGACGATGATTTTCATTTATAGAGAGAGGTTTTTATTTCCTAATCAACTATTAGGTTAGGTTATACTGATCATTCAAAGGGGATCCCTTTAGGACTGTTGACCCATTGTGTTACCGTAGAATGGAGAGACTCAGGGCCACCTGAAACCTTTGGCAAAGCTTAGAATGTTGTGTAGTGGGAGGTCTTGAAGTTGATCAACAGCCTCGAAGAAAGGGGTCTTTAAAGTATTGAGTCGCCGTCGTGCATGAGCTGGCATGAGAGGCACTTTTATTATTTTTCTTACAGCTGCGACAGATATCATTAAATGGGAGATTCAATCTTCCAGCATGGTTGCCTAATCTCAAATGACCTTTAAGTAGACATAACTTAAGACTGATATCTGCACCGAGCATCTCCGTGAGAGAATTGGATTTTTTTCTTTTTGAAAGTGGCCAATTGCATATAGATGCCTGTATATCGTTGAGCCTTTACTTAGAAGAGTCATCTATTAGTACGAATCTTTTTTTTGTAATATCTCAAGTTTGACTTCATTTTTGGTGTTTATGTTGGTTTCCGAATAAAGAAATACTTAACTTTCAACTTATATGTATGAATTGTGACGTGGGCCTCACGAAGTTAAAAAGATTTGTCTGTGACAGAAAATATTTAGTTTTGTTTTCACTCACTATAAGATCTATTAGCTTTGTATGATTATGTATCAACTGTCTTTAATGAAAACCGGAAATTGGTTAAACTTTACCACGAAGTATCGCACGGTGATATACAAATACGTATATTGTATCGAATAAGTTATATAATATGATGATACCATGATACAAACTGATTATTATTATGTAGAATATTTTGATTCTATTTAATCTGTGTATTATTATTAAATGTGTAGTTGATTCTTTTATCTTATATATTCGATGTTAACAGTTGTTTGATCAGTTGGGATGAACTCAATTAATCAGTTAAT